ACGCCAGGCCTCCTTCGACAGCCAGGACTTCCTCCAGGTACCACTGAGCCCAGCCGTGCCCGGCCAGGGTGCCTGTGTGCCAGTACCCCACAGCAGGGCACCCGTCCTGGCCATGGCCGGGGGCAGGATGGGCTCTGCTGCCCGCCGCCCTGCTGCCCGCCTCTCTGTGCCAGCTCGCAACCGGCTCTGGGGCTGCTCTGACGTCAGCCGAGAGCCGGGCTGTATCCTGGGAGAAATCAGTCCACGGTGCCTCGTTGCCATGGCAATGCAATTTGTTGCGCGCCTCCAAATCCCGCATCGCTTCCCCCGTGGCCACGGGCTCGGGGCCTGGCGTGGCCGGGACGGGCAACGGGGACACGCGGCGGGGTACCCTGGCATGGCAGGTGCTGCCAGGGAGCCGGCGCTGGGGAGCCTGGCCATGGTGGCCTTGCACACGCGCGTGCGCACATGTGCAGGTGCATCTGTGTGTACAGGGAGTGCACGTCCGTGTGCAGTACATGCACACATGGAGTGTGCACAGTGAGCACGTGTGTGTGCGCGCGCAGTGAGTTCACGTGTGTGCATGGTAAGGAGGGCCCTATCTGCAGTGAGTGGATGTGTGTGTGTGCACGCGCGCATGTGCGTGCAGCGAGTGCACGTGTGTGTTTGTGGTCAGTGCATGTGCTGTATGAGTGTCTGTGTGCCTGTGTACACTTGGTTACGTGAGCGGGCACATGCAGGCGTGTGTGCACCGAGCATGTCCCTGTGTGCACATATGTGCATGCATGTATAAGAGTGCAGGTGTGAGTGTGCACAATGCGTGTGCATGCAGTAGCAGCGTACAGGTGTACTAACAGCCTGGGAGCGTGCACACAGGCACGGGTTTGCATGTACCCACCGCCCTGCGTGTAGTGACTGTGACCATCCCTCTGCAAACATGTGCGCCTGCACCTGTAACACATGTGTGTGCACAGACACCCCAGGCCCCGCGGGGTGGGCGCTGAGTGGGACTGAGCCTTCTCCTGGGGCACAGGGCTCCCAGAGGGGGAGTGGTGGCAGGCAGCGGGCAGGGGGCGGGCAGGGTGGCCGGGGGCCGTGACACCCCTGCCTGCTCTGGCAGGTCAATGTTGAGGACACTGTCGAGATGCTGCCCAAGTCGCGGCGCGCGCTGACCATCCAGGAGATTGCCGCCCTGGCCCGCTCCTCGCTGCA